AAGGCCCATTTGAACCGAACATCTACCCCGTATCAACACCCAATCAACTCCTCTCCAAACAGTCCACACGCCACCCCACAAGATGCCCAAAAGCCCACGCCCACTTCATTCCAAAACTCCAGGCCCGTTCACCCCACTTCCCCGCCAAACCCATCCACCCCTTCAAAACCAAGTTCGTCAAATAGCCGAATTCAAAAATGTTTTCGTTGCCAAGGGATCGGTCACTACGCTAGTGAGTGTCCCAATAAAAAGCTCATGGCTATCATCGAGATGGATGACGAAGAGATTAACCCGTCTTGGGTTAATGAAGAAAGAGAAGAAGAAGAAGAGATAATTGGCCTGGACGAAGGAGAGCTATTGGTCGTTCAAAAGACCAAGAACCTAGAGGCTTCCAGAAATGATCACTCACCCAGGGAGAGTATTTTTCGTAATCCTTGCACCATAAACGAAAAGCTTTGTTCGATGATCATTGATAGCGGGAGTAGTGCCAACCTTGTCTAAAAAACAACAGTGGAAAGGCTCAATCTAGAGACGTTGCCGCATCCCGAGCCATATGAGATTCATTGGTTGAATCTAGTTGAAGGAGCACGTGTGAAGACACGAAGTTTGGTTTCATTTCGTGTAGGACTGTCTTACCACGATACGGTTTGGTGCGATGTGATTCCCATGAAAGCTTGTCATCTCCTACTCGGGAGACCATGGTTATATGATCGGCGAGTTTCCTATGATGGCTTTACCAACTCGTATTCATTCTTCTTGAATACTAGGAGAATCACTCTTTCCCCAATAATACCATCCAACAAGCTGCTCAAAACACTGCCCCCATCCGTGCTTGCCATATTTGCCTACCACGAATCTAAAGAGTCACCATATGATTCTTTGCTTGAGCAAAACCAGCTGTTGGGCCTCTCTAAAGACCCCCTACCCGACCACTTCTGTGAAAAGGAAAGCCTCGGGGGCAAACCGACACTAACGGATTTTAATGCCAACACTTTTTTGTTTAATTTGCAGGTCATACACAAAGGCACAGGTGTGAGAGAGAACACGTCCTTAAGGTGTTCTAGAGATAAAGATATATTACCACATCCAAACCCCGAAGATGAGCGTGAAGAAAAGCCGAGTTTGAGGGAAAACTCTTTCGAAGAAGGGAAGGATGATATATATCCGGGAGCATGCCCGAAGACTCTCCGTAGCCCGCCAAGGGATAGACGGATCAGGGGAATAAAGCCCAAGTGTGGTGACATTAATTGGGTTGAAACTTCTCCATTTTCCTGCCTTAGAACCCAACCCAACACCATGGCTGTCCTACACCCACCCTAGGCTGAGCCCACACTTCCCATACCTTCCCTAAACATCCAAAATATTTCCTTTTCAAAATAAAGTTTTCCTTACTCTTATTTTAGCCATGGCCGAAAATAAGAGTGTGTAAACCAAAACCTTTTTGTTTGTTGTTATTTTCCTTCTTTTAAGCCTTTTAATAAACCAGTAAAAACCTCTCTTCCTTCCTTTCATTCCCTGCCCAAATAAACCTCACAATCCCAACCCAACACCCACAAAAAGCCAAAACCATGACCCACCTCCAGCCCCTACTTCCTGCCCATGTTTTTCCCTCACATTAACCCA